AGGCAGGTTGATCTCTCTGCGTTTGAGGCCAGCCTGGTCTACCTGGTGAGTTCCAGGCCAGCTGGGACTACGGGGAGACCCTATCTCAGAAAGACCAAGAAAAAAAACACTTTTTTTTTTTTTAAAGATTTGCTCAGGGTCTGGAGAGATGGCTCTGTTCTTGCAGAGGTCCTGGGTTCGATTTCCACATGGCAACTAACCATCTGTAACTATAGCTTCAGGGGTATCTAACACCCTCTTCTAACCTCCACAGACATTGCATAACGTTGGCGCACTTACACACATGCAGGCAATACACTCAAACACATAAAACAGAAATTATAGCTGGGTGTGGTGGCATACACCTCTAATCTTGGGAGGCAGAGGCAGGCAGATCTCTGTGAGTTTGAGGCCAGCCTGGTCCACATAGGGAGTTCCAGACAAGCTGGGGCTACATGAGACCCTGTCTCAAAAAACCAAGAACAATAACAACAAAAACAAAACCCCCAGAATTTTGGTGGTGGTGACAGTTCTGCAAGGCTGCATATATTGATACCACATAGAAACACAAATTATAAATAAATAAAAATAATTTATTCATTTTTATTTTGTGTGTATGAGTTTTTGCCTGCATGTACAAAAGCATGCACATGTGTGCAGTGCTGGCTGAGGCCCGAAGAGGGGGCCAGATTCCCCTGGAACTAGAGTCACAGTGTTGTGAGCCTAAACTTTAACATGGCATAACTAGGGTCAAGAAGGTTCCCTATTACAGGATCGTGGTTCAGTGAAAGTCTCTGTCCCAAAACATGAAAGGAAAAAAAAAAAAAAAGGAAGAACAAAAAAGCAAATAGCACACAATTACACACAGGTGAACACATTTAATCTTTCTGTAATGCTAGAATTTATTGAATAGCAATAAATCCAAAGTGTGTCGGGTTGACATGCTGTAGTTCACCTGACTTCCCTTGATAGCGGGCTGTTGGCAAACATGGTGTGACTGTGTGTGCATGCACATGTGAGTGCAGGTGCCTGCTGAGGCCAGAGAGGATGTCGGATCCCCCGGAGCCAGAGTTAGAGGTGGTTATCAGCCACCTGCCATGGGTCCTGGGGAACCTCACTTCGGTCCTCTGTAGAGCAGTACAGGCTCTTAACCACTGAGCCATTTCGTGAGCCTTTTTATTCCAATCTTAATTCCTAGTATTAACTTTCAGATCACAGGTTACACATCATACAGTAATGACATTTTCATGCATGTATATATGTAGGTTACAAAATGGCTACAAAGGGTTAAAAATGTCACAGCAGAGTTTAAAGAGTTCATAGAGGCCTTAGTGGTGTTACCTGACTTAGGGGTCACATCTTGTGCCCCAACAAGCCAGGTTCAGCCACCCATTCTCAAAAAGCAAAATAAAGGCGTTGCAGTAGCAGTAAAGGCCCACTAGGAGAAAAATCTGGTTAAATGACGAGAAACTCTGGCCTAGGTGGAGACCTAACATTCCAGTTAGGCCCATTCAATCACCATGTCAAAGGACTGCCCCTAGGAAGATGGCTCACCTTAAGCCCTGAGGAAGAGACCATGGAATAATCCTTTAATGAGATAATGTACTTCTTCCCAGAAGCTGGCCCAGCACAGCCTGGCCACAGCAGCTCAGCTTTGCAGGTCTGCACACTTTTCTAAATCCTGGAGAAAAGCAGAACCCCTCCTTTCCTTTCTGTCACTTTTCTAAGCATGGTTTCCCTTACACTTCGTGTTTCCCCAGCATTTCGCGCTTCCTTTTTGTCTAAAATGCTCCCCCAAGAGCCAAGTTAATAGTGAAAAGCAGAAACAAGATTTCTTCAGTATGTTCACATTTGGAAGAGGGACAAAGAGAGTAAATGACTCCCCCAGTCCATCTCTGGGGTCTTGACAGGAGGGTAGGGTTTGAATAGAAAGCAAGAGATATGCATAATGGTTCTGCGTACCACTGCCTCAGCTCCTAGTCTCTCCTGCTAGGTAGTTTCTCCTGAAAGGTCATCTGATAAGGCATAGATTGAGTAAAATCTTTTCCAGGAGCTAAGTTCCTCCTCTGGCAGACAAGTTCCTCCTCTGCATACCCCTAGGACTTCTGCCCTATCTTCTCCTAGGGAAATTCTAATTTCTTGGAGTCCTTTCAACCATCTGACAGCCAAAGAGGGGAGCACAAGTGTCTCTTTGGAATATACCTATTGCTGTCAGACAGGCCAGTACCCTGGAGAAGCCAAGAGCTGATAGAGGTGGATGCAAAGAGAGGCACTGCAGTAGTTAGATAAGGAATGCAGGTGGAAAGCTGCTGGAGGCTCAGAGCCAAGGCTGCAGGGTTGAGTGCAGCCTCAGATGAGAGACAGGACCGGGGCCAGACAAATGGAACAGATGGACAGATGGGTATCAGTTCAGTTATATCCCCAGCAGTGGGGACAGAGCTGAACTGAAGCCCCAGGGACAGTCAGAAGTTCTCTGCCTGTTGGTGCTCTGACACACACATGATGTCAGATGACAGGTCAATGGGACCTTCAACCACTGCAGTGTTGGGTGTCCTCTGTGTAAGGGCTAGGTGTGGGTACCACATTCTTCTTTGTTTGGTAAGTTCTCAGGTCTGATGTTTCTGATATGGCTTTAGTATGCCATGAATTCATCTATTCCCATCCTACTTTGATAAGTTTATAGGTGGTACCTGTTAGGGTTCCAAATAGCAGCTCCCCCCCCTCCCCAACAGGGACCTACAAACTCTGCTCGTGCCTCTGCCTCTTCAGCATAATCCTACCGGTGTGCGCCACCACGGCCGGCGAACGACGGCGCGGAGGGAGACCTACTTGAGGGATGGGCTGCTGATGCACATCCTGCTTCCCCCTCCCTGATTCCATACCCTAAAGCCCCCGTATGTAAAGTCCCAGCTCACAACCCGTGAGCGGACATTTTTCCTGGACATCCTTCCCTGACATCCTTCCCTTCTTCCCTTCCCTTCCCTTCCCTTCCCTTCCCTTCTCTTCCCTTCCATCTTTCTCTCCGCCGACATCTTTCCCTTCCCCGAGGGAAAGGTGCCCCGTGCGAAATAAATCTGTGTCCCGTTGAGAATTCCATCTGAGCCTCGGTGCCTCATCCATCCGCTTGTGCCTTCCTCCATCCACCCGCTCACTCCCGCCCATTCTCTACCTATCAGTACCTTTTGGCTTACTTTAGAATGAGGTTTATCAGTCTGCAGCACATAGGTGGTGCTGGACAGGTGGTGTCTACATGTACAATGAAGTGCAGAGTCTTTCTGTCTACATTTGTACTCAAGATGGAGCCAAATGCTGCTTGTAAAATGGAGTTATCCAGGGCACAGGCTGATCTTAACAATGACTTATACCCATCACCTGGATTCAAATATTTTCCACTGTTTGTATTGTCAACACAAAACACAGCGCTAACCTCAAAAGGAATAAGAGATGGTTTATTCGGGGCTACATATGATAGACTGCAGTCCAAATTCAAATTGTTGTACCTCATCCACTGGACCCCAAAAAGACCACCAAGGACCCAACACACCAAAATGCAAAAGTAAAGGTTTATGGTTTATTCGGGCTTAAGCTCGGGCTCTCAGACCTCACCAACTCAACGGATCCGTGCTGAGAGCCCAGAGTAAGGGAGAGTGGAGCCTTTTATAGGTTTTAGACAAAGAGAGGAAGGGGATACCGAAGATACATTTTGGTTGGTTCAAGGAGCCCGTGTGCGCCAACATAATTTTAAACTGATTGGATGTATAAGATGCAGCCCTGGAAGTTTCTTATTGGTAGGTGCTATTCTCAGGGCTGTGGAATGTGCTGACTGTTATCTGTGGGGCCAGGAGTCTCTGTTTTTACCTTATAGGGCAGTTTTCATGCTAGGGCTTGCTTAACCTATAGTTTCCTGGAAGGGGGGGAATAGCAGGCAGGAGTCAGGGCATGCCAGGGCATGTCTAGGCATGTCTAAAGCAGCAGCCAAGCATTTTACAGAAGCTAAAAGAGCAATTAGTGGGGGTCTGGAGGGATTGGGGGGTAGCGGGTGAATGAAGAGGGTCTCAGGGTCCTACAAAATTACCCTGAGCGACATGTTCTTTCTTAGTTAGCATCAACTTGACACAGCCCAGAGTTATCTGAGGGAGTCTAGGTTATGGGACTGTGTCCTAGTTTGTTTCTTCATTGCTGTGACAAAACACTCTGACCAATACCAACATGGGGAGGAAAGGCTTTATTCAGCTTACATCTACCAGGCTCAAAGTTCATCAGGGAGCCCAAGGTAGGA